TTACAAACTGGATTGTGGCATAAAATGTGCAATATTTTTCTCATTCCCTGCTTTCACCATATCCAGTTTTCCAGTGTGAAAGTCACCATGAAATGAATAGAGCAGTCAGCCTTGTTCTGCAACGATTGCTGTCTGGTTTGCCTATAAAAACTCAAAAAACCCACTCTGGAGTCTGTCCCATTTGTATTATTTCCCTGCCACTTTTCTCTGACATGTCCTGAACTTCAGGCTGCTAAATGAACTCGATTCAGGAGTGACAGTGCTTTGTAGGCCATGGTGTTCAAGCCAAGGATAGAAGCTCAGCCCCCGATGGCTGCATATGTCACTCCCTGACATCACTGCTCCGAAGGATATACCCCTGTTTGAATTCCACAGGACCTCCTTTGAAACCTCTGGTTATAGCTCAGCCCTAAACTATAGAAACAGCCAGCCTGATACATGGAGCAGGGGGCCAGGCTCGGATGTGTCCCAGGGACTACAGGGAGGCCATAGCACAGGGCTGGCTCTTCCTGGCCCATTCCCTCATTGCCATCCATCTCTCCTCCCACCCAGCCCCTCCATGGCCACTTGTCCCAGTCCTGCAGCACTCCTGGTTTATTCATAATCAGTTACAGAGGGCACAGACACCTCTGATGCGCTCTGATTGCTGTCTTCAGCTCAACATGCATGCAGAGGAATCAGCCATCTGAGCTTCTCCTTCCTCACCTCCCAGTTTGCATTGCCAGGCATGACACACCACCATCAACCTCCTCAGATATTCAGTACCAGATAAGAACACATTCTGTCTGCAGGGACACTTACCACAGCTGCTTAATTGTACAGAGAACTGCAATCCTCACTCAAGACACACAGCCAGGCACACATCATCAGTGCTCTGCCTCAGTGCTCTTTGGGTCTGCACAGACAGGATAGAGTTTTAACTCCAGTCATCCTGAAGATGCACTTTGAAACTTGAATAAGCTTTTTTGCCATCCTATTTCAATACAGATAGAGATTTTTTTTCCTGTCATAAATGCAGAAATCAATCTCCAAAAGCAGTCCAGCAGTGTGACAGTTGCACAAGTCCACAGAATCCATGTCTCCCATGGCTTGGAAGTCAGGTTGATGGCAAAAGCCAGTTCCTCCACCCAGTTACAGATGTCTGGGCTGTGGGTGGAAGATGTCGGGTGCAGTCTTTGCACTGGTGCTGCTGAGGTCATGTTAGGACTTCCCTCCTGCTGAATCTATTGCAGAAGAAGTGACTGGTTGGTCAAAGGAACAATTTAAATTACAGCATCTGGACACAGCTGCCCCATGTCCTTAGTGGAGAGGGTCAGGCAGAAAGACAGAGAAACAGGAAACTTCATTAAAAAGTCTGCACTCTGGGTAAAGTCCAAGTGCTTTCTTATCTCTTCATTGTCCACTTCAGACTGCATCAGTGTTCCAGGAGTTTGCCTGAAAAATCTGCTGTTTAGGTTCCTCTGCGAGCCATCCTTAATAATCTTTATCCTGAACTCCAGGTTAGAGCAGTGGGAAGATGTTACCAGACAAAACCAGAGGGAAAAAAATCATCCAAATGTCGCAGATTCCAGTTATTTTGCTTCATTTTTCACATGGGATGAGGGGATATTCCTCATCTCAGAGGAATTAAGCATATTACCAAACACCCTTAAGCATTATTGAAACTGTAACTAGGAGCTGAAGTGCAATGGTGCTGTCTGTGCATGTGCTCTCTCACCTTCTGGTTCTTCCATAGCCAGGTTTTTTGGTTGGAATTTTGGTTGGGAGAAAAATTTTAATATATAAGTTGAGAGAAAAGGTAAAGAAACACGAAGGTGGAAGTAAAGAAATAATGTATTTTAATAAATAAAATATTAACAAAAATTGCTATTTTTAACAATATGTGCGCAGAAAATGTCAGAGCTTGCATCTACAGAGATCATAGAAGCTTAGAAGGGCTTTGGGCAGAGGGGACCTTCAAAGATCACCTCGTCAAACACTGCCTGCCATGGGCAGGGACACCTTCCACTAGACCAGATGCTGAAAGCCCCATCCAGCCTGGCCTTGAATACTTCTGGGAACGGAGCAAATGTCAGAGGAGTTCCAAGGTGGCTTTTGTTTTCACTGCCAGGCTGTCGGAACACTTGCACATCCTTGAGGGTAGGCTGACAGTCTTCTTATGAGTGCAGCACCCAAAGCAGAAAATCAGAGCTCCCTGGGGTTACATTCCTTGCCCTGTTTGCTCCTGCAAGGTTTCCTGCAATCTGTAACCAAACCACAAAGAGACCGCTGATGTTCTTTTGAAACAGCCGTAAGTTCCTCATTTAGAAATGCTGATGCACTTTGGATTTGGCAAGAAAAGCTTTTTTTTTTTTTCTGCAGGTGGTGAACAGACTTGGCTGATCTCAATCCAGGTGTTTAGCTGAAATCAGTACCCATTTTAACTGCACTAAGCAGCTCACTAGCTGAGGTATGCATTTCCAAAAAAGCATGTGATGGGTTACTCAGGACAGCTGCCCTTGGTACACCATGCTGCAGCAGGGCTGATGGCCAGCCCATAGCAGGAGATGGGTGGCATTGACATGTCCCCATCCCTGCCCCATCACTGCCTGGGCAGCAGGTCTCCAAACCCGCTTCCCCTGAGTTGCTTCACTGGGCAAGGAGCAACGTCCATGCGAACCAGTTGCTAAAGCAGGGATAATAACTCCCTTAGCTGCTCCATCCTGAGGAACTGCTAACTTGGTATCTGACACTGCCTGCAGCCTTCATCCTGGAATGAGCTTCAACAGGAAGGCAAGTCCTAAACAGGGCTGCAGGAAACCTGTACCTGCAGGGTACAGGTCTCCATAATGGAACACATTGCCATATGCTCGCTGTGGCAATTAAAGGAAGGGAAGAAGAAATCCCAGTCACAGGAAGGCAAGTCCTAAACAGGGCTGCAGGAAACAGGGTACAGGTCTCCATAATGAAACACATTGGCATATGCTCGCGGTGGCAATTAAAGGAAGGGAAAAAGAAATCCCAGTGTCTCTTTATAAAGAAACACATGAGGAAAGGACTGCCATTTTCAACCCCTCTTTTTATGAAGTTTTCACAGTAATACGAAAGTTAAAATGTAAACCTGTTGCATTGATGTCAATACAGAAAAAGCAAAGTCAGTGCCACGCATACTGAGTACACTGTGTCCCATTCCCAAGGACACAGTCGCTCAGTCTAGGAATATCTTTTGTAAAAAAGATCATGACCATGTAAACTAAGATCTCGTGAGACACAGCTTCTGAAGCTCTGTGTTATTAATATTAAATCAATTTGAATGACAAACATACCTACAAGAGTTCCCTAGTTGACATAGGTTTAGGTTTGTAAAATGTAAACAGTTTCCTTAAAAAAAAAAAAAAAGAAATCTGTGGATCCATATTTTTGTGCTGGGTTCTGCAAAGTCCTGTGCTGACATCAAGTGGTGACATATTTTTCACGCCAAAGGGAGCCAGACTGGCTGTGCTGTGGATGATATTCATTATCATGAGAGGTAAAGGCAAGTGGCCCCAGGCCACTGGGGACTACAGCAGCAGCCTCACTGGCAGATGCTCCCGTGGGGATGGACAGCCAGAGGAGTGTGGAAAAGCAGCACAGCCCCTGCAAAGCAAGGCAGGGGGGGTGAGGTGAGCCTCCCCAGTGACTCCTGGACACAGGAGGTGCTGTCTGAGCCCCCAGCACCCACCAAATGTGACCACTGGCAAGAGCTCTCCCTTTGCTAGCCATGAAAGCTGTGGCTGGGAGAGGTACAGTGGGGCCTGGTGGCCTCAGGGGACTGAGGGGAGCACAGAGAGCTCATTTACTGAGGAAAGCTGGACTCACAGTTAACCAGAGGATGGGAGGCTGTCTTAATTAGTTCTGCAGAAATACCAAGGAGGGCAAAACAAATACATAAGGTCATGAACTGGCTGTGATTAAAATCGAGCTTGGCATTAGAAGAGTTTTAACTCCAAGTGAACTTCTGGAACAACAGCCCTGCGGAAATTGCAGGAAAACCCTCCCACAATGGAATTTTAAAAGGCAGGTTGATTATTTGCTGCAGGTATTGTGGCCCATGATGTGAGCTGTAACATCAGCCCTGGGTTGGTAGGGACTGGCATTGGTGAAGGATGTGGTTTGTTTCCCTCATTGGCCTCAGTACTCACTGAAGCTTGTTTTCAAAGGTGCAATTGATTGGGAAGTGCAGATTTATTTGTGGATTTACCCATGGATGTTCAGGTCAATCATACTTTGTCAAAAGAACTGTGTACTCAAATAACAGCTGGGGATTTATAATATGAAAAGAGAGAATGGCCTGGGTTCATAATTCAGATTAAGGACAAAACCACTCTTCCTCTCACTGATTGTTGATTTGAGTGTGGAAATGGTTTCCTGCTCTTCCCAGGAGCCTTGCAGCAGCGGGAGCCCTGCAGCAGTACTGCCATTGCATGCCCATGGGTTTATCCTTCCTCTTAGGGCTGGGAAGCAGGGTCACCCTGCCCACAGAGTGCACAGCTCAGCAGCCCAGGAAGTATTTCTGTCCTCTCCATACCTACACCTCCTTTCAGACTCCATCTGGCTGTGCCTCTCTGTGTGACTGGAATCCTGACGTCAGGAAAAGCTTTCCATGCCCTCCTTCACTGCTGGGCATTACAAACCTGAGAGCGAAAAAGAAAAATGCATATCCATTCAGATGCATCCCTAGGGGGAGAAAATCATGTCTGTGGGCTTGGTTGCTCCAAAAGATGGTGGGATTTGCCCATTGCAGTTAAACCTTGGTAAATATTTCGTGGGGAAAATGTACAAAAAGGTGTACATGTAAATGGTCCCTGAGGTCATTGCCCAGCCTGTGCTTTGATAGGGCACAGAGAAATGTTCGTGCTGTTCTTTTCCACGCATGCTGTGTTACTGTAAGTGGGTGCTGGACCACCCACACCTCGGAGCAGCTCCCAGGGCACTGGCACAGGGCCCCAGTCAGCCGGGGCAGGGGAGAAGGGCACTCTTGTGCTGCTGAGCTGGGCGTCGATTTCTTCAGTTCGGTTTGGGTTTGTCTTTTGGGTTTTTTTCCCCATGTGTTGACATTGCAGCCAGGATTTGCCCACAGAGGTTTTGTTTTCTCATGAGCAGCTGGACTTTAAACTCTGACATCTGTCCTGTGGCATTTCCCACCAGGGCTGCGGGAATGCAGGCAGGCACCGCTAGGCTCAGCGGGTAGCAATGGCAAGGTGCTCCTGGATAATATTCTTCCTTCTCTCTGCCCTTTTCCTTCAGACAGAGCAGGCAGGTATGGCTTTCAATTCTTTCCACTTTTAAGTCTGATTTTGCTGCTGCTTTTCTAAAAACACCAGCAATTTTGTATCTTGTATAATGTTTACTTTGTAGCACAGAGGGAAATCAATAAAAACAGCCCGTTCCTTGTTTTCTTTAAATTTCTGCTGTTTATTTCATGCACCTAAGTGAAAACTTCTGTAAACGAATGGGGTGATGTAGTTTTGAAGTACCATAATTTATGCCAGGGTAATATTTTGTCTTTTCCTACAATTTTTAGAGTGTTTCAGTTATTAATGCGAATTTTGTTTTATACTTCTAGTTGCTGCTGAAATAAAAATGAGAGAGTCCTATGGAAGAGGGCAGTATACATGCTTGTTATAGCTTGAAGAAGTTTATATTTCTGTATTAATCCTCCATGGTTTGTCAAAAATAAGGAGGAGCCAGGGAAGGAAGAAAAAGATGGTGTTCTCTTAAGAAAGTCGAAATACCCTGCAGCAGAAGTTCACGGCCAGCTGTGCTGGATGTGGCAGAACCACTGCATGGCAGAAATATGTGCTGGGGGTCAGATAACATTTAAAATGCAGAACAGAGTCATGAAGCTTTTATTTTTTTTATATCATGTTCAAGACAGTTGCTTATGGGATATCCTTCAAAAAGATAACTAAATATCTGTACACAATTTTGGAATAATTTTGCTGTTGCTCTCACTTTTTCCAGATCTATGATATTGATTACTTCAACCAGCAGTGTTGGGTCCCCAAATACTGTATAAAAGAGAAAAAAAACCCTGAATATTCCCTGCCCCAACCTATTTACTTTCCAAGCACAGGAGAACTGACAAACACGTGCTGACACACACGGTCACACATTGCTTCATGTGGAAGAGGAGGCTCCAGGGTGGCACCAGCTGCCCAGCTGGCAGGCAGTTTTTGATGGAGGTGTCATTTGCAAAGAGGAGTTTTAACATGTGTTAGCTGGTCTCTCCTCTAAAGAGGAGTCTTTACTCAAATCTGAAAGATTACAGTGTCTTCCACATAAACAGTGGTATAGGATATAACCCTCATAACTATGAGCATTGCTGAGGGGTAGTTTTTATTTGCTCTCCTTAAGAGAGAATTGACTGAGAATTCAGCCATGTCATGGCTTTGCTCCTCAGCAAAAAAAAAAAAAAAATTTGCCATTGAACTAAGACTGAAGAGCATCAGTTTGGATCCACCATCATAATTTCTTACCACTAATATCCACGTCCACAAATGCATCTGAAACCCCTTTGCAGTCTCCCAAAATAGCCTTTGCCTTTTATAATAATATTTTCCCCCTTTTCCTGGCTGTGCACCCACACTCTGCTCTGTGTGTCTTGTGCAGTAAAATAATTTGCCAGGAAGGGCTTCAAATTCCCCGTTTGGGAGCAAGTCAGGCATTCTCCAGTAGTGAAAGGTCCCAACTCTCAGGTGAATTTGGGTTAAGACAGTAGAGCTCTTTGAGTAAGTAAGGTTAATATGGCTGAAACCCAAATCAACCAAAATTATTTATCTTATAAAGAAGGTAAAATTCTATAAGAAAATTAATCTAAGTACTTATATTAGTGTTTTGTCATACAATGTTCCAGTATTTATATCAGCTCATGATGCAAACAGTGTTATCAAGAGACAGAGACGTGCCAGTTCCATACTTCTGGAGGAGGTCCTTCAAGGCAGCTTGGAAAGAGAATGCCTAGAAGAGAGATGTACACATGAAGAAGCAAGAGAAGTATTTGAAGATGATGAAATGCTCGTAAGTATTTTGTTTCCCTGCATGCACAATAAAAACTGCTGTCACGATCCTTTCCTTGTGAAACACAAGACTGCTTCATTTGTTAGGGTTTCTCTCCATGTGAAATCTTTGCATTTGCCATTTCAGCAGGTAGCAGGCAGGTGTCTTCCATGGTCAAAATGGAAATGAGGAGGTCAGCTCTGATATTGTTCAAGTCCTCTCCAGGAAATTATGTGTCATGCTCCTTATATTAGTAAATCATGTGGCTGTTCTCCCATCCTGATCACACAGAAATACAAAGCTTCAGCATCCCTTAGGGACCAGGAGGGGCAAAGGGGTGTTGGTCAGCAGAAGAGCACCTGGAGGGCAGCACAAAGGAATTCCAGTCACTCCAGAGAGTGAATTGGCTTCATCAGGGCCCAACTCAAATGCTTCTATGCAAATGCATGCAGCATGGGAAATAAATGAGAGGAGTTTGAGTTGTGTGGGGCACTGGCACAGGTTGTCCAGAGAAGCTGTGGGTGCCCCATCCCTGGAAGTGCTCAAGGCCAGGCTGGATGGGCCTTTGAGAAACCTGGTCTAGTGGAAGATGTCCCTACCCACAGCAGGAGATTAGAACTAGGTGATTTTTAAGGTCCCTTCCAACTCAAACCATTCTATGATTTTATGGCTGGGGACAGAGGGAATCAATACACCAGCAAGTAGTGGGACCTATAGAGAGAAGCTCACTTGGTGAATATCTGCAAATTCCTTTGCACCAGGGGCTCTCCAGACATATAGAGATGGATGCTGTGCTCTTTAATGGGAATCTGGATGGATTTTGTTTGTTTTGTTTGCAGGGAAAGCAGAGGAAAGAGCTGTAGGGCTGCCCATGGACAGCTGTGGTGCTTTGGGGAAGGGAGGGGTGGGCAGAGGTGTGGCTTTGGGGAAAGCAGCTCCAGGATCAGCTGCAGTACCAGGGAGATGCAGGGCACAGGGTGCAGCAGTGGTGCCCCACAGCTCTGCTCTGTGCTGACCACTCTGCCTCCAGCAGCACCTGGGATGGGACAGGATGGGGTCACTGCCAGGCTGCTGCACGCCAGAGGGACAATAGCCAGCCAGTTTGTTCAGGGAGCTGCATTGCTGAAGGATCCTGCTCCTCTCTGGCCTCTGAAGTGTTTCTTTTCTTGTACAGCTTCTTAAACAACCAAGTAAGCAGCAGCCAAAGCCCCTCCCTTCTCATGTGTATATTTGCTAGCAGCACATTAGAGTTGTGCAACTTTGTAAACATTAAACCACTGTATATATTCTCTCATAACATGTTTTTTGGTTTAGCAAAATATTTATGACATATTACATTACTTGGGAATTAAATAATTTCCTAATATTCTAATTTCCTTTTTTTGTTTTTTTCACACAGAAAATGTTTTGGGATATCTACTACGGTAAGCTGGCCTCTTGGTTTCTCTTCTTCATGGTACTGTCACATAATGAACATTATGATTCAGTCTAATAGTAGTTTTCTAAGAGTTTATTCTATGAGAAACAATCAGTCTCTATTTGTCAGGTCTGTAGTAAAGTGGAAAATTCTTGTAAATAAATTTTACAAGAATAAAAGTAAAGGAAAATTCTTGATGTGAAATAATTTTTAAAAAGTAATAGACAAGAAAAACAATTTAAATCTGCAAAAACAATAAAAGTAGAAGATGAGTAAAGGTTATCATAGTAAATAGGCTCCTTCTTTTCCTGAATCTGAAACAGCCTGGGACAGGAGAAAATATGTTTTGCTGATACAATAGAGCAACACAGTTCTACCAGCAAAATCTCCCAAATACAGAATTAGCACTTAAACCTGGGCAGATAAATAGATATTAAAAGCTACTGAGCTATCTACAAACTCTGCACAGTGGGATTGCATCATTCCCTGTCAGGTGCTAAGGTGAGAAACAAATCTGTAGGAGCTGAGGTCCTGATGTAACTCAATGCCACCTGAACAGGAAACCTGTGACACCAGCTCATGGTAACTGTGACATTCCCTCCTTTTTTTCTGTATGCTTCATCCCAAGTTTTTATCTTGTTTTTGACTTAGCTATTATTAATTTCTAATCTTATGTTTAAAGAGTGGATAAGGAGGTGGCAAAACCAGCAGTCAGTAATAATTTTCTGCACAAGCCACTAAATCACTGAGTCCTGGGAACCATTGCATAGAAGAATCCCATCAGTGCTATAAAGGTTATGAAGAATGATGCTAAATATCTGGCATTTTATTACTTTTGTGAGGGTGGGATTAATTTCTAATTTGAGTCACTGGATATTTGTACTAAGCATGTCATGCAGGCTTCCTCTCTAGCCTAGGATGAGAGAAGGGAAACCAGCTCAGAATGGTCCCTCCAAACAAGCTTAGCAACAATCAGGACACATTACTGACTTCAGCCTCAGGGATGGATTTCTTGCAGTAATTAAAAGCCATATGTTCTGTCTTCTTCCTAAAGAACAGCAGTGTGTGTTTTCTTCTCTGTGATGTTTTCTCTAACATTTTGGAGAGTGTTGTCTTTGAAAAGTGGCTTTTTCCTCCTCGCTAAACAAACACATTTTTTCATCCTGTCTTCCAATAATCTCATTTTCTAGACCTCTGGTATCCATGTTGCTTTCTGCTGAAAGTCCACAGTGCAGTGGATAAATCTGCATTGTGAATAAAAGAGGAAAGGCTGAGCACCCACCTAACTGCTGGGTCACCCACCAGCTCTGCTCTGCACTGTTTTTCCCCTTCAAGTCAAAACTGATGCAGTGGCAGCTTGCTGGATCTCTGCTGTCAGGGCACTTTGCCTGAGGTCACACTTGTCCCTGACTCTCTTTGATCAACATTTTAAACTTCACCATTGCCAATCTCTCTTTAAACATCACTTTCCAAAAGTTTTGTGCAAGCCTTATAGCAGTCTGCTCACTGAATGACAATGTCATTGGGACATTTCTATTCTATGATGTTCACTGATTCCTCCTAGGTCCCTTATCCTATAATGTGATTAGATTTAAATGGTTTAAATTAATTACTTGAAAAATGTATGTTGGTTTTGACTTCCCACCTTTTTATACTGCTGTGTGCTTACAGTTTAATCATAGCTTGCCAGTAACAGAAATCAGGCCAATTTCTCTATATTTCCTTGAATATCCTCATTCCTCCTTTAATAAAGCTAGGTGCTGGATTTATTTTCTTTCCAGCAAAAATTTCAGAGGCTTGAATCCATCTAACTGCTTCAGGCTGCAGGGGTAACCCCTCCCTAGCTCCAGCTCCTCAATTCTGCCTGCTCAGCTGTGCAGGTGAGATTCCCCCAATTCACCCAAAACCCCTCTCTGGAGGCCTACATTGTGCTTGGATATGCTGGTGGCATCTGACTCAAAGGTGCCCACAGCCTAAGCAGATGACGATTGGTGGTTTTTTCCCAGTAGCTGGCAGAGTTTTCACTTTTCCATCCCCGAAATCAGGTAGGGCAGCTCACTCACTGAATTAACCTCTCTGCCGAGGTGTTAATTTTTAGAAAGGTTGGACAGCATGTCCCAGGTTAGGCTCTTGCTTGCTTACTGGTGGCCTATGTGTATAATAAGTAGTTGTTACTTGGATCATGTTTTCAAACTGCTTAGGAGCCATTCCTGTGGGCAGCTTGAAGGGAACCTGGCAGCTCTGCCTGGTGCTTCACTCACCCTCTTGTTTCAATGCTCAGTTCAGCAGAAAGAGCAAGCTTGCTAGTGTTTGAGCTGCTGCATGATAATTGTGCAGATATATAAAAGTTATATTTCCTCCTGTTTTGATGTTGCTTGCTGTACACTTGCTCTGTAATTTTGATGCCAGCTTTTTCTATCTAGTGCATATCAATCTAACATGGGAGATCTAAAACACCAGTCATATTACATTTGTAAAAAAGCAGGAACTGTAACACAGTCCTTTTCCCTGAATCGGAGCATCCATCCTCCAGAAGGAGGCTCTGCCTCGGGGCAGCTCCCAGCCTCTCTGACAGGGGCTGCAACAGCACCTCTGGAAGCAGATTTGAGCTAAAATTACCCCTGAGGAGCAGCTTGGTGACACTTAGCCCATTTCCTTCCAAAGTGCTCTCACATTTCTCTGAACAGCACATGTGTCGGGATGGGGGCTGTGTAATTTGGGATCAGTGTTGGTGATGACTCCTCCCTCTCCATCTCTTCAGGGGGCAGGAGGTGCTCCTCAAGCCCCTGCCAGCACAATGGTGTGTGTGAGGACAGCATCCGTGGCTACACCTGCACCTGTGCTGAGGGCTACGAGGGAGAGAACTGTGCTTTTGGTAAGGCATTACCCCCTTCTGAGAAGCCTCATCTCATCTGGTCACTGGGTGTCCCCATGAAACCATACCCAGCTCTCCCATGGTGCCACTTACCATGGTTTTGGGTAAAACCCACAGTTCTGGCAGAGTAGGGGTGATGTGTGCTGCCTGACTACAAAACATGATGGAATCCTGAGGTTCCACAGCTGTCCCTGTGCCCTGAGCCTCCCTTCTCCAGGGATGCAGCAAGAGCTGAAACCGAAGCACCTCATGGGTACACCCCAAAGCCAGCCCTGCCACTGCCCCCTGCACTGCCTGGCTGCTTGTCCTGCTGTGGTCCAGGTGTGTGGCCTGAGAGACCAAGGCTGCAGAGCCAGGGTGGCTTCCCAGGCACTCTGGTACCTCTGAGGCCACACACCACCACAAGACAGTCCCTCAGGACAGAAGGACTCCAGAAAACAAACTGTTTCCAGTGGAAGTGAAAAGCATAAAGTAAAACAGATGTGTTCTGGCACAGGAAAACCCTGGGCCAGATACTACATTTTTATATCTGCCAGGTTCTACTTTCCAGCCCTGACATCAGTATTTCTGCTGGTTCAGAGGTCCCCTGGGGTGGGAGACGCCCTGGCTGCAGCAAGGCAGGGTCGTTCTCTGTGTAAGGGGTGTGACTGACCAGCTTCTGGGGAGCACAGAAGGTGACACAGCTTGGACCAGTGCTGGGAACTAGATCATCTCAGAGCTTTAGGCAGCCATGTTATACAAGATTTTTTGCTACCTATGAGCTAGATCAAGTAACAGTTGCTTTGTGCTAGAGATTTAAGTGTTTGCTTAGCTATGGAAAGTTGAGCATGTTTTGCAGTTCATGCTCCCTTTCTTTTTTTCTTATCTTTGGTAGTGATGTGTGCAAAATCAAACAAGTGTGCAAAATGAGAGCTACAGCTTTTTGTCAAAAAAAGAAGAAACCTTACCTGCCTTCTTCCTCAAGCAATACTCGTCTTCATAATGTGCAACAGTTCCCCTTGCTGCAGACACTTGGTGTTTTGTTTAAAAACCCATGGCACCCTTTCCCAGAACTCAGAGGTGCAGGGAGAGCACAGTTTGCAATGAGTCTGTGAATGCTGAAGAGACTCAGCTCTCTCCAAGTTCTGTTTAACAAGGGGAAAAAATCCCAGTGGTAAATACTACCAAGCCAGATTCCCAACCCACATCTACACAATGTGAATAAAAAATAAAACATAGAGGACTCAAGCGATGAAAGAATAGTTCATGTTTTTCCTCTGCTTGCTCTGTTTAGCTAAAAATGAATGTCACCACCAAGCAAAGGCAGGATGTGACCACTTCTGCTATCCAGGAAGTGATTCCTACCGCTGCTCCTGTGCTGATGGCTACGAGCTTGGGAAGGATAAAAAGCAGTGCATCGCATTAGGTGGGTGTGAGATGGAGGTAAAGGGGGCACCTGCTCAGGGCTGGGGTGGGCAGGCCACCATCCCATAGATGTGATCAGCCTGCCAGCACTACTACTGGGTAGAAAAAGGAATCTAGGGACCACCACCCAAGATGCCAAAGTAATGGTAAAAGAAGGGCTATTTGATCAGAATGTTTAAGTATGAATCAACAGAGAGGACTTGCACCACCCTACACATCACTCACTGGACCAGGCTTTCCACTCCTGTGTTTCACCAAGAGTAATTCTGTTGAACATGTGTTTGCTTGGGAATGAGACTCTATTGATTCCCATCAGGTGACCAATAGTCTAATAAATGAAGGGAAACATTTGCTGCCATGTTAATTAGCTTGAAACAGTAGCCCTTTTTAGTTCTTCAGCCTCAAGTTAGGTATCTCATTCAATTTCATCCCCTTACAAAGTAGGTCTACTAAAACCAGAGAAGTATATTTAGACTTGGTGGGGCAGCCAAATCTGAGTTCAGCTGTAGAGGCACACTTTTGGTGGTGACAGACTGATGTCCACACTCAGGGCACACTTCAGGTGGCCTTTACATCAAACTGGCCTAGTTCAGTCCTGTGGACTAAGCACCAGTCAGCTGTGAGAGCATGTCATGTGCACCTGGAAGGTGTCCTGTGGTTTAGCTTCACCCAAACAGAATCCAGTATGTGTGGCCCAAACCCAAACCAAGAGGGTGTGACAAATGCAGATAACTGGGTGATCCAATCGAAAAGCATGTGCGTTGTTTGAACCAGATGAGAAAGGCACGCGTGTCCCTAGAGTGACAGCTGTAACAAGGAACACCCAGGAGTTATGCTGTTCAGGCTGGGCCACAGCTCTCAGGTATTTGACACAATTTGAATACAGGATACAAAGACGAAAAAGCAAGATGGGCTAATGGTTGGCTGGAGAGAAAGCCTCATTTCATTAGTGAAATGAAGCACAGGGAAACCTGCTCCCTACAAGCCTTACACGGTGACCATGTTCAACCCATTGCTAAACTATTATCACTACAATTGCCAAATTATTCCAATTTTCACCAGCTGAGACACTGTCATTCTCCTTTCCCTTTGCACAAAAGCAGAACCCCAAAGTCTAGGTGGACCAGTAGGTATTAGCTGTCTTGAAATGTTACAGCATGAAGTTTTGACTTTTCTTTTTAAATTCATTTGTTAGATGCATGTGCATGTGGCAGACTTCAAGACAGTGATAACCTTATAAGTGAAACCAGGAAGAAAAGTGATGAGCGATTTCCTTGGCAGGTATTCCTAGCAATTCATGAAACCTATCACTTATGCTCACATGGATGGTGCTATCTACTGTCTTTGTGCATTTTCGTAGGTACTGCTGCTAAACCCCGAAGGGAAAGGCTTCTGTGGAGGAGTGTTGCTAAAAAGTAACTTCGTGTTGACCACAGCAGACTGTGCCCTTCTGCACAGACATTTCCAAGTCAGGGTTGGTGCTGGTAGGTGATCCAACACATTTTTTCTTCCTGCAGCACATTTCAGTATTGACAAGCTAAATTTTAAAACAGCTTACTAAGCTTCTGGCTGCATAAAAATATTGTTAAAGGAAACAAATATGATGTTATTTCACTTAAGCACCTCAGTCAAGTATCTGAGCTAGAACTACAGGTACCCCACATTCCCCTTCACAAGGCAAGCAGAAAGTGCCTCCTGAGCACAGTTCAGAACCCAGCACCCAGAGATCAGCTAAACATGGTGGATTTAGTGGTGAACTTTCATGCCAAAATTCACATCAGTGCTGGATATTCATCCTTACTGCTGAAATCATTCATGCTCCTACCAGCATTAAACAGCTGCCAGTGCGTTATTCCTCGTTTCCCTTTACTGCAGCAGGAGTTTTGAGGAATAGCGCCTTTGGCTCCTCCCCTGCACATGTTTCTCAGCACGACCAGGCAGCTTGCATGCAGCTTTCAGGTCTCTGATAAACTATTCCTAAGAGCAGCCAAATGTCATTGCTCCACAGGGCCTAATGCAACAAGTGGAACTGGGAAGCTAATGCAAATTAGTGAGAAGCACATCCACATCCGGTACGACGAAGACACTGGTGAGAACAACATTGCATTACTACAACTCCAAGAGCATGTTGAGTGTGACAGCTCCCACCTTCCCGTGTGCACCCCTGAGAGAGACTTTGCAGAACACGTTTTAATTCCAAAACTGGCTGGTACAGTCAGTGGCTGGAGAATGGAGGGTGATGAACTTCAAGGCGAAGAGCTGCAGGTTTCATACCTGCCTGCTGAGGACTGCAAGCAAATACTCAACATCAGCCTCACAAACAGGCAGTTCTGTGGGCACCTCCAGGAGGCCACAGACAAACACCTGGCTGGAGGGAGCTTTTTGGTTACTGACTACAAGGGCACGTGGTTTCTGACTGGTATCCTGGGATCCTGGCCGCTGGAAGACACGGACTGGGAAACACTGCTTTTCACCAACACTGCAAGGTATATGGTATGGGTTAAACAAAAAATAAAGTAAGACACAAACACAACCACCTCTCAAGCACCAAGCCCCTACCAATTGTTGCAAGGAAACATGGATGCAGCCAGTACCCCCATTTGACTCTGCTACTATGTGCGGCAATGGAATTTGCAACAATGACATGTATTTAACTCCAGTTTTTACAGAAAAGCCTGTTTGTCTTTCCTTCTGCTGACACACAGCACTGTGAATCATAATACAGTAAACCTAGTTATTGAACTAAAAATTGATTTAATTTTAAATTTCTTAGAACTGTTCATCCATGGTGAATATTTTTCTGTGATTTCACATGTTGCTAGTACCCTGAGGTTTGATTCAGCAAATTCATGTTCTTCTTTCAGGATCCATACAAGTAAAACTTTAAAGACATGGGGAATGCCAAGCTCTTAAATGTCTATGTTGAGGTAGCACTTGACATTTTCATCATACTAAAAAATGCTTTCCCTCATACATGGAATCTATGTTTTCCTTTATGAATGATGCCCATGTCAGTTAGAAACCCAGCTGTCAAAGACAACAAAAAATACATGTTTTATTTGTTTTAAAAATAATTTTAAAACCCCAAAACTAAAGTTTTTAAATTTAAATTTAAAATTTTGTCTCATCAGTCTGGACAAAGTTATATTGTACCACCCCCAAACAAACAAATCAACCCCCAGGGTAGTAACACTTAAAATACTGGATTCAGTAGTAGTGTTTTCCCCAGAAGCAAAATAAAACAGAATATGGATAATTTAGCTACATGAATTTTTGTTCATCATAACAAAAATTAAACAAAATATTACCAGAATTTAAAAAAACCCAAAGCCATCTGTGGGCACCTACCACATATACTCAAAACCCGTAAGTATTACTGACACAATAAAGCTTTTGGTGTCAAACACTTCTCTATTTTTTAGAGACAGTTTGAAGACAGTATTTAATACCAGAAAAATTATTGAGAGTTAAAAAAAAATGGAAACCATGTAAGAAAACATTACTTCCACTCTGAAGAATGGATTAACACAAGCAACAAAGGCTGATACTTCCCTCTGAAGGATAAACACAGATAGTAACATGAAGTACTTTATAAAAGCTTTTAAGTAGTTGGGAAGGAATTTGGAATGCTTTGCTTTATTTCTTTATGAGATACTTTGAATGATCTAGAAAGCCTGTGAAAACTACCATTTAAAAGTCAACATTTCATTTCAATGCACTTTGTAACACTGGCAGCCTTGGCCATTCTGGGAAAGGAGCCACAAACAGTTCCTGGTATTTCAGTCCTGGACATGAACCAGGCCATTTACAGTGCTCTTGGGTCACTGGGAGCAGTCCCACTGGGCAAGCTGAGTATCTGAAGAGTACTTTCATGGCTAAGATGCAATACTCAACAACACACTGTTGACAGTGGAGGAAATGGGTTCTGCTTGCTGACCACAAGCTTCTGATGCTGATGGGATATGTAGCCTTTAATGTGACCCTGGCAGGAGGAGGAAAAGGCAGAGTTAGTACTTAGAGCTGATAACACAAGGCCTACAACCCAAGCAAACACCTACAAGCTAACCATAGCAAAGCTGTTTATGGTCACTCACCACTGCACTACTGTACTTCAATGTCCATGAGGGTCCAGTTTGGGTAAGTGGGTCACTTACTTGGAGAGCAAGCACAAAGCTGGAGCCACCACCCTGTTTGTGTACTAAGGGTGCTGTCAGACTGAGAGCCTCTTGTCAGGCCCCCCATGGGCCTGCTCACACTGCCTCGAAGAGACAGAGCTCTACAGAAGTGTTTCTAAGTTCACTCTTGCTCACTTTAAAATGAGGATTTTAATCAATTAGTATTCCATACCTAATAAAATAAATGACATTGTACTTCCTTTTCAGACATAGTGTTGTAACAGTGAAAAAAATCTCCCAGTGACCTAGACCACATCAAATAATGTTTCAGAAACAGAGTAGTGGTTAATCTTCTTGCTGACACTATAGTGATGCTTCACAACCTCTGATGTAATACAAATATTTAGATTTCAAGCTTTTATCCATTCATAATGAGATTCATTTAGAGTAAAAGACAAAATGTGGAACAGAACCAAAGAAATCTAGCTCTATTTTTTTCTAATTTGAGAAGACCAAGAGTCTCCTACTTAAATGCAGAACAAATCTTTTTGGTGCCACCTCAAAGTTCCTATTTTTAAATCAAAGTTTCTGCATATATAGAAATGTCAGTATTGAATTTGTAATGTGAAATTCAACTTCAATTTTAACTGATTGCTGTAAAAAAAAAGCAGGACCTAGAGGAAGTCCTCAGGGCAAATGAAAACATTTCACTTTGAGCAGAAGTCTCTCAAAAAAACCCTAAGAAAACCTGGGAGATTACTGATGAGTTTTTTGTCACAAACTGTTATTCTCTATCTAGTATTTTTCACTGTCAGAAGTGTGGAAGCACAAGACAACAAGTGGTCAGCACTTACCAAATATATGAGGTTAGCTAAAATACACTGGACTTCATCAATATCAACATCATCTACTTGCATGAACTTCAGGGCAATCAGAAAAGCATCTAGAGATAGCTGATGAGTTTTGAGTAGTAAATATCTGAAAGAAACAACAGGAAAAACGTGTTATTGTGAAATAATCACTTTAGAATTCTGTTTCTTAGAAAAATTGCCTTTCTACAATAAATTCACTTTAACAGAAAGTCTGCTCTCCCAGAGAAAACTAAGGAGCATAAACAATTCTACCCCACTCCCAGGTGAAACCATATTAAATCTGCTGTTGCAAAAATGTAGTTTTTGTTATACTTACACTTTCTTGAAGAGATTCCTATATGTGATGATTTTCAGCTTCTCAAGGATAAGAAAGATTCCACATCGAATAAAGAAGGTCTCATGCTTTGTCAGAGCATCATTCAGAAGGAGAAGATTTCCTTCACTGCAAGGATAAAGAAATGAAAAAGTAAGAAGGCCTCACACCAGTAAGAAAAGAAAGTACGACTTGATAGGAATATACTTCCCCTGCCTTCCTCAATCACCCCAAAGAAACACTTTTAACTTAATACTTCTTGAACACAAAGCAGAAAAGCAAGCATCATACCTCACAGACTTTGTTACTTCAGCAAACTGCATAAGGTCATACTTTTTTAAGAGCTGAACTGTTGGCATATGGCCCTGAAAAATAAACGGTGTCCAAGTTTTCCAGGGTAAAGTTAAATGCATTTTAAATAGAATCTAGTAAGCTATAAAAAAAATTGTTAAGAGAAAAAGAAGAATGTTTAACCATTATTTTTTTTTGCTACAGAATAAGAAGTGAATAAAAGTATTTGCAAGACAACCCCCTCGTCCCTCTCAAACACCTTGTAGCACAACTCACAATAACTACTGATTTATCATTATTTAGGGACAAGTAATACTTATTGTTAGGGAACATCTATCAAACTTGTAGAATCAAGATCTTGTGACATGAGGCCTTGGCAGATTCAAATTTTATGTCATAGCTGTATCATCTAATCTACAAACAGAATAACTGCAGGACTCCCAAACATTTCCAAAGGAGTATGAGCAGAGCTTCAGCCTTGTCAAGTTGTCAAGTGTTATCTCAGTCTCAGTCTGTAACAGATTTTTTTCTTCTCTATGTCTCCAAGCGGAAATAAAAATGTTCTCTCAAAAAACAAACACCACCACCATGCCCCCTCCCCCCCCCCCCCCCCCCCCCAAAAAAAAAAAAGGGAGAGAAAGGTTAACTTTAAGGAAACAAAATTAATTCTTATTGTTACATCAGGTAAGACTGAACCATCTACAGAATAAAAAAGAAACTTTGCCTTTTATCCCCCGTACAGCAAAGATCAGAATGCACATTGACTTGGTCAGACTTTAAATTTAGTTACATCATGCTATGCTGTTGCTAACTCCTTTCCTGGATGAAGGATTAGCTGAGAGCAGAACTGGGCTGCAGGTTTACTGAGAGCTGTTAGGAACAAAAAAACCAACACACAAGCTATTTTAGTAGTCAGAAGTTAGTGTTAATATTTGGGCTCTGATTTAAAAAAAGCAACTGTAAATACAATGACCTTTGTCTAGCTTCTTTAATGTCTCTTGTACACTAAAACTGCTTCAGAAAAGCCACAGTAATTCTAAGCACTAACAGACCAACCAGTTTAAGGCACCCAGTCAGGACTGGGACAAAGCTTTTAGGAAGACTGTTAATAAGTTTTCCTTTATCAACCCTACCACTCACTGATCTGAAAACAGCTGCTAAGAAAGTCAACAATTAAAACAAAGAAAACAGAAGCCAATTATCATACCCACTATATTTCCCCTTTACCCACTTGACACAGCAAGGAATTGAAAAGAAGCACTGAAAGGAAAAAGCAGGGAGGTCATAAACAGGTCAGGGGGAAGGTGGAAAATGGCAACTCAATAGAGGCAGGTGATAACATTCTACATGGGTAACTTGGGGAACAGGGCCAGAACAGGAAACTCTAAAATCTAGTTCCTGTCCCCTAAGTCACAATTAATACTCAGCATAATCCACTAATTCAGGGATATACAAATGTTAGCACAGCACATGGGAAAGAACAAGAAACACATGTGCTTAATTCTTTTAATAGAAATATGAAATTATCAAATAGTAACAAGTTTTCACTGATTTTTCAGACCCAAAATACTCTGCTTCATGACCCTTCTGACATGCTTTGAATGTGAAAATGTACGAGGTACAAATAAAAAAGCCAAAGGCAGGCTGTAGCTGTGGCAAACCCCTCTCAACAGTCCTCAGCCATCTGCTTGCACACCCTTCTTTCTTCCACCAGGTGAAAGAGGCAGACAAATTCTGCTTCTAGTGAATCCACACCCTCCCTGGCTTTTGTGTGCAGTTGATCAGCAGAGAGGCACTCTGCTACAAGACAGAAGTCACACTGTTGAGTGCTTCTCCAAAGAATTCAAATACACCTTCATTAAAGTAGTAAGATCAGGAGGGGTGGGAGAAAGGAGGGCCAGGTTGGTTTAGTTTGGAGATGGGGTTTTTTTGTTTGGCTGTGTTATTTCCCCTCCTATCTCCTTTCCCATGTGGCTATAAATGACAACTCAACACTTTTTGCCCTCACATAACAAGGTGTGCATACACTGGCTTTTACGGGGTAAAACAGCCTCTGAATTCCACTAAGGGAAAACCAAGAAAATACTGAGCATCAGTTTTACAGTCTGCATGTGTACCCCCTTCCCCTTATTAAGGAAAGTAGTATCTACTCACCAACAACATTTTTACTGGCAGCAGGTAGATCAAAATCATTCTTTTGTTCTTCTGGCTTGATCGGTGACAGTGCTCAAAGGCAAATGACAGATACTCTTCAGCTGCAAGAACAAGGGACATGAATCAACCACAAAAACAGATTAAAGCTGTAACCCAAATTCTGTGCTCAATGTTCATCTCCCTTGAACATATAACATTTGAAATTGTATAAAAAAAAATCATGCCATTCAAAATACATGAAGAAAAATTGGAGATTCACACAAAATACAAAGTATTACTAGAAAGATAAGTTGTCCTTCAGAAAGTCAAAGAAAACTAGTCAAGATCTTCATGTCAGACATTACAGTTACAAGTAATATTGGATTTTTCAGCTCATTTCAGTAATATTATTGTGCTCCTATTACAGAAGCAGAGAATCTCAAGAAGTGCTGGTCACTCTATACACTCTATTTCCTAAATTGAGATTAGGTTCTTCAAGAGATGAAAGCCGAATGCAATGCCCACATCTCCTGAGCTGCAAAAATGTGCCAGTGAGACCATACAGCATAACAGCATGAAAATCTCTCAGCAGCTTCTACTGATAGAGAGAAAATGATAAGTCTGAAAGGCAGCACACACTGTTTGGAGTAACAGAGCCAGCTCCAGAACAGATGTTGGTCAAGGGCTTCAGTTAGTGATGAAGCTGTACCCCTTAGCTCTAGAAGCATTTCTATTAGAAATTTAGGAAAATCAGTTTGTACATCTTCCAAAATCAATGGATCAAGAAACTACAGTTTGCTACACTACAGTTTGCTGAAGATTTCCTAAGTGGCACACAGCAACTTGAAGAGTTGAAGGCTCCTCTGCAAAACTTTTACAGACCTATTCTTTTGGATGCTCACACATTTTGTAATGCACACACATAATGCATAAGACTGTAAGGAACTTCACTGACAGAAATATTTTAAAGCTGGGCAGACACTACAATTAGAAGTGTCATGTAACCTCATCTCTGTTTTGAGTCAGCCTGTGGGCCTTGGACCTTTCAGCATGACTTTTCCTTGGATCAGTGCAATTCTGAGTCACACACACACAGAACTTCAGCAAGATTTCATGCCAAGCAGCAAGACTTTAAACATGTCTTACTGGCACACAGTACCTTGCTTAAAGTCGCTGTCAAACATGGCCTTGCGTCCAACATAGTATTTGTATGTAACTCTCTGTGCCATACTGTACTCCTCCTTCAGGTTTGAGCTGTCAATTGCTCTAATTAAGGGCTTACAGAGATGGAGCTTGTTGATCTGTTAAAAAAACCCCAACAATTTAATCAGAGTGTAGATAGATGATATCATATAAAAACAGAGTGGGTTTAACTTTGAATATGAAATACAAAACACAGCTTACCAGACTTGAACCCTACCTTAAAATAAATTTTAAACAGCTGATTCACAAGAAACAACATGCCCCACTTTTTTGAGTCTTCGATGCCTGCTCGACTGTCATAAGGAAAAAGAAAAAAACTGCTAGTACTGAACATTGTAAGAAAATAATGACTTTATCTTCACAGTAAATTCATTCCACAGGGATTCACTCCATAGCATTTTTAGGGTAAACATAGGTGTAGCTATGCTATACATTTTCTCAACATAATGAAAAGATGTCATGCAGGATATTATTCATCTGCATCAGGGTACTCACTCCAGTCTGCAAACAACATACAGAAGCACAGAAGTGGCTTATAATACCTGAGATGAAAGAAAGACCCCCCAAAAAGCATATTTTCCACTTCAGAAGTGTTAGAATTGCTAACACTGGAAACCAGAGCCACCTCTTTTCCATCTAATTAATTCTAATAGAGCAAACTTCACAACTACCAGGGCACAGAAGCATTTATCATCTTTCCTGAGAAACAGGGACATCATCAGTCCCTCCCAACAACACCTGCTAGGAATGCTAAACCTCAAGTGAGGGTTCTCCCTCTGCAGTTAACAGTCAAGAGATTAAGACAATAAATGAGAAGAGACAAGCCTCAGAATTGTTCGTTCTAAGACCCATATTTGGTCTAAGTATGTGGGAAAACTTAAGCAAAGTTCATTATGTTCTCAGTAATTTACTAGTGCAAGTCCAGCAGAGGGTCTTTCACTTACGTGTCACTGGCACAGACTCGAAAGCAGCCCATCAGCAGCTCTGCTGCTTTTTCCAACATGTCACCCACTTTGCTCTTCCCTTTCTTCACAAGCTGTTGATCTGCCTAGCAAGAAACAATATGCAATTCTACATCATGGTACACTGGGTTGCAAAGTTTAGTCTTTTAATTTAGCATTCTATAAAGTGTTATAGCAAGAGATCTGTCATGGCTGCTATCTCCCAAATCTAGAAGGCAGTCAAGCTCCCAGAACAAAAGAAAACACTCGGAGAGGCTCCTGGACATGTACCAACCCCAATGTAGAGAAGGACAGTCCTTGGAAAATAGCACTGACCACTATTACCTTTAGTATCACTCAGCTTAATGCAGCTCTCAGAAACCTAAATTCAAGTTTAATGCCTGAACTGGAGCATTAACACTTCAACTCAAATGTACAAAGACCAAGAGCCTAGAAAAAAATTATGGAGTTTGAGTTTTAGAATTTATAATTCAATTTCTCTCCACAGCACAAAGATTAGATGTTATTTCTAAACCATATTCAACAGTTTCCAGCAGTAACACACACTGCTGGGACCTGAGACTTCCAGAAGAAAGATAAAACATATGTTACAGCAGCAAAAGAAAAATAATAATTCAGTTGTCAACATATCGGAAAGATCTACACACTGACTAATGCAGAACTTCAACAGAAAAAATATAGCAAGTATATATTTATTACATGCTTTCTAAAAGTTTTATCATAGTGTTTGCATTCTCACTAGCCAAAACATAAATAAAAGAAATGGAAATGCATTCTGCAGCAGAGGTCTTCCCTGAAACCGAATCCTCTGAATAATACACTAAGGTCAGAAGATAGAGTTCAAACACTTCCAGCATGACTGATTCAACACTACCCTTTCTCATGCATCTCAGAGATGTGGATTTCCCTCATTCAAACTGAGAACTGAGACTTGTTGCAGAGCAGTCACACACACAAAAAGTACTCCCTGTGCAAGCATTCCCATTCCTCATGTGGTTTTGTGGGTAAGTGAGCATGAGAGTGATGAGGGGATGAACACTGAAAATACTGGATATTGTCAAACCCTAACCTCACTTGAACTCCAGCTTCAACTCTTCAGTGAAGTGGCTACAAACAAAATCACAACTCTGCCACCTACCTTGGCCTGAAAGTTCTCAATAGATCCCTACACAAGCTACTTCAATTCACCAGCCTGAGAAAAATAATGTAAATTTGGGGATTATTAGCATGTCAGCAGTTGTATGGGCTCACCAAGGGCTCCAAAGAGCCTCAGAAGTGGTTCACACATCTGGAAAAGGGGAGCAGAAAGTTCCCTCTTCAGATCTGGTGAATGGTTAGATCAGCTTGGTTGTCTGTGATACCTCCAATTTCCACCAAATCCCAGGGATAACATGGAAATAGTGACTTACACCACATGCTACTCAATAAAGAAAATATTTATCCCTTCATAAGTTCTAACCAATTGCTGGGAGCTGCATTCATGTCCTCAGAACTCCTCTAGTTTCATCTGCCCACAGGAGGTGGACAGATCGAGCAACCTCATCCTTCAATAAGAGTGGATGAATTTAGCATGTCAACAAAATCCTAAACCATGAGTTAAAGAGAACTGAGCAAAAATAGACTGTGTAATAAACTCTGTAAAAATATTTCTATTGTGGAAATACCAAACAGATAAAAGTAATGAGGCTGTTAATCAGATCTACTTACATTATTAGCAAAAATTCGAAGATCAAGGGCTACAGAATACATAATAGGTAAGGCCCTGGAAAAGAAAATCATAGTATACTTAGTAGGTGCAAATCAAGCAATAAGTAAGACATGGGAAACAAGCAATTTTTTTTTGTTAGTTGGTCATGCAGCTAGAAAATGATATATTAATCTTTAAATGAAGAAGGATGCACTTCTTAAAGGGAGAGTTCTTCAAGATCTCAGTATTTCAGAAATCCTATACTACAATAATTATTTCTAAAGTCTTTTTTAGTATGGCTTTAATAAAATTCCACTTCTCTTTGAACAAATCCTTCATGTATTTGCATATGGACCATTCTATGTAATTAAGCTCAGATGTTTAGTTTTCACACTTTGCACATAAAAACTCAACCAGTCAACAATGCCAATAAGGCTTGATTTTAGTATCACTGGGGATAAATAGAAGTATAGCTATAATTTTAGTTTGACTCCAATAGTATTATACTAGGAAAAGATGAGTATATTTTCTAGTCGTTTTCTACCATGTACTCACCAATTTTCTTCTTTATGAGCCTGAAATGCTCGCAGGAAAGATGTATGGTATTTAGGAAAATTTAAAATGCCATGAAATGAAGCACAGATTTCAGAAACAGCTGTTCAGTGGTACCACATATTAATTCATGAAAGACTAGAAATCAAAATACCATCAAGAAGTTGAGGAGCTGAGTTACAGTATGGAAGAAAGTGAGCACAGCCATCAAAATACCATCAAGAAGTTGAGGAGCTGAGAAAGTGAGCACAGCCACGCACCCCTTTGAGTGGCAGCAGCAGTAAGAAACACTGGCCAGAGATAAGATAGAAGCTTCTTTATCATTATCTTCCCCACCAGCCACACACAAACTGCAAGGTATTATAATGATTTGAGACTCTCCTACATTCTGAGAGAAATTAATATTCTATTTTAGAGCCAAGTAAAACATTCTTTCTTAGCCCTATAGAAAGCTGGAAGAAGAATGTATCTGGATTTCCTTGTTTAGAAACCTAAACAGCTGAAGTGTATTGGGAAGCAGACCACGTTCTATTAGATTTTTAAAAACCATGAAGAAAACTTATTCTACAAGAAGTTAATCTGAAAAGAATATGCAAGATTTATGGAAAAGGATATTGCACAATAACTGTTTGGCATTTGTATGCTTCGACAAAGTCATGGTTTGCAACAGCATAAGTACACCTGTCAAAGAAAAGGCGAATTAGTGCATCAGAAAATATCCATAAATGAAATATTTATTTTTGTGCCCTACCAGGCATGAAGGTTTACAGTTTATTTAAGGCACAAAGCAGTATGACTAGAAGCATTCCTAAAAAATTGGCACAAATATTTTAATAGAGCACTAAGCTTGATAATTGTAGAAAACAGATGCTAGAGATTAATAGGTATTTGTTTTATATAAGCTAGTGCTTATTGAAACTGTCAGCAAGATTAAATTTTAAAAATGCTAGATTGTTGAAAGATACTAGATGCAGAAAATTATTTAGTAAAAGCCTTGCAGAATTACTTAGATACTAAGCTCTCTTAAGAGTACTTTTATGATTAAAATTCCCTTTAAAAATATTTATTTCCCTTGCTTATTTCACTCTAAATTCTTGTGCAGCTAGTAGGCAGACAGGAAGCACTGACACCAAAGCTGTGCCAATGGCCACACACAGATGACAGCCAGGTACACAGAGCAAACTTTACGTGGAGAGGAGAAAGAAAGTCTTTATTTCCTGCAATTCTAACATTATTTATAAGAGTAACAAACACCAAGTTTTCCTGTGTAAGCCCTTTGAAACAGGAAAGTAAACTTAAGGATATCCTTCCCCATCCCTGCTGCACACCTCACAACTGACTTTACATTCTGGGCCCACCTTTACCTTAAGTGGGCTGCAAACATTTCATCATATGGTGATTCCAAAACTTGTTGGCACTTCTCCTCTGGAGATGGAAGCTAAGTGTAGAATAAATCAATAAAACATTAAAGGAACATCCAATGCACCAGAAACAGAACATCATATGCATATTTTGTCATGGCAGTTCTCACAGATTTGCTAGGGTTGGAAGGGACCTCTAGTATGCATCTACCAGAACTTTAAATCACATTAACAATCATATCCAAAATAATGAATTACTAGTGTGCACTCTGTCTCCAGAACCTGAACAGAGCCAGCCTTAAATAAAAGCATCCAAAACACACAAACACCAAGCCCTCACTGCCCACTGCTTTTTTGTTTATAGTGCCTTCCATAGTGCTATGCTAATAACTAATGCAGACCTGGTCAGAAAGGACATTCAAAACTGTATCTATCCAGAAAACAATTCAAAACGGAACACAAAGAGCCAACCAGAAAACAAAAATTATATCTAGTGTCCTGATAAAAAGAAAAGGGAAACAAACCCACATGGGGATACTACCTCAGCCTGTGAAACAGATTTCTGAGGTTTCTCTCCAGTGGAAAGGAACCCACACACAGAGCTGGGAAAACCAAAAGCAAAACAAAAGGTCAAAAAACACAACCTCACCTGTAGCCTTGGGTTTGCAACATGTGGATGTTTAAATGATACCAATTCTGCACAAAATGTACCATCTCTGGTCTCAATGGCTTCTTGTACCTACCAAAGTAAACAGTCACATTACAGAATAAAATCCAGCAACAGGAATACAGCATATTTCCACAACTACAGAAGCCACCACCTAGTTACCACTACATATTAAATATACATACATATATATGAACATATTCATACATATTAATATCAAATCAAATGCGAGTTTTTAAAGGCTTAAAATGGAATAAGTACTTTTGTATTTCCAATACACCTGTTGTTCAAAAAGGTCTCAGGGAGAAGGAAGAGAGAACACCATTGTGGTTTTTTCCTTATTTGTAGGATGCAAGCAGATGCATGTACATGGGTTTAGCACTGTTGAACAGCAGTTGGGAGCCAGATTTGGGTAAGCTTTTTAAAATTCCAGTTGGACTTATAGGCATCAAACATGGATGCAAAGATGCAATCTTTGAGAAATGCTTTAAATGAAGACAGGAAGATTTAACATGCAAATATCATTCCAAAGGCAAAGCCTGATATTAGACTGATATTCTATCTGTATCAAATGCTTTTGAAACCTCCTAAGATTGCAAATGTTATATTCTGTGGAAGAATGGTTTAATCCTGCTTCCTGCTAAAGATAACTCCTTGTAAAAACAGTCTGCTTGGACAGGTTATTGTGACATCAAGGTGGAAATTTATTCAGTTACGGAGGTAGTCTTAGGCATTACTTCTTAAGGGTTTCCTTCCCATTGCTTGTGCTTTGCCATATTTTTGTGTCCCAATATGAAAAAAAAATCTTTTTGATGTATGGAAAGCTCATACCAAATGGGAAAAAATGCTGTAGACTAAAATAGCAACAAAAAAGGGAAAATCAACTGCTTAGACTCTTTCAGAAATTTGTGGGTAGCTTTTATTTCAGGAAAAAGAAGATGCAAGTTTATGTTTGCGAGATATTTTTTCATCTTGAATGTTCAATGGAGCATCAACCTCACAAAACGTGGGCTTTTCAGAGCAGACCGCTGTCCTGGGAGGTCTCAGGTGCTCCATTTTTGGAGACTAAAACCCAAACAATTACTTTCTTTTTGTGCCTTAACTAATGCCAGATGAAGTAAGATGGTAACAGTGAGGAGAATACCACGGTCCAGCAAGAACCACGCAGAGTGCAGACACAAGAAGCTCGTCAGTGACAGCTCCATGAGGCTGGAATCCCTGCAGCTCTGCCCCTGCCTCTCCATCCTCTGTGTCACAACTTGTGTCCGCGTTGGTGTGCGCCTCCGAGCCCTCTGCTCCCCAAAACCTGAGCTGCACCCGCTCCTGGACACACAGACACACACAGAGACACAGACACACACACACAGAGATACAGACACACACACAGAACAGACACAGAGACACACACACAGAGACACATGCAGACACACACACACAGACACACACATATATATACACACACACAGACACAGAGCCCTCCGTGGCGGTGCCCACACACACAGAGACACATGCAGACACACACACAGAGACACACACACACGTACACACACACAGAGACACTCACACACACAGAGAAACAGAGACACACACACAAAGACACAGACCAGACACACACACACAGAGACACAAAGAGATATACAGACACACACACACACACAGAGCCCTCCGTGGCGGTGCTCACACACAAACTACCTCAGAAACCCCCCCACTTTTCAGGCATTGCAGCTGACACCCTGGCACCCACACGCTGTGTGCCCCACGCACGCTGAAGGGATCTATTATTCCCCCACCGCACCACTCCTCCTCCGCTGATTTATTTCTCACCGCGGCACCACACTTGCAGCAAGCCAGAGCACACCCGCACACTCGAACAGGGCCCGCGGCTCATTAAAGAGGAGGGGAAAGCGTCGCTTACTTGCTGCAGGTACTGGTTGATGGTGATGTGCGCCATCGCGGAGGACGTGCGGCGGGCGGCGCGCGGCCGCGCGAGCCCCGGAACTGCCGGAACTGCGCGCGCGCTTCCGGATCCCGGCGCGGCCGAGAGCAGCGGGAGCGGCCCCGCGCGTCACGTGACAGCCCCCAGCGCCCGCCGCCCCGCCCACCGCGTGCCCGGGGCGTGGCTTCACCCGGGCAGCCAATGGGAGTGGGCGATGGGCGGGGCAGAGGGCGCGCGTCAGCGGTAAACCTCGTGCGGCGCCGCGCGCTGTACGCTGTGGTGGGGCCGTGTGGGAGGTGTCGCTGTCAGCCGCGCTGCCCCTCGTGCCCTCGGCTGGGACGGGAGGCGGGCAGCGCCCTCCGTGTGGGGGGTGCTCCGAGTACTTCCCCGGGAGAGCTGTGGAGGCTCTCTCCTCGCTAGCTCCATCGCCCACGGGGAGCGCTGGCGAGGGGTCGCGTGAACTTGGGTGGAAAAAGTTGAATTGAGCATTAAACTCCCGAACTTCAGGTTGACTCCTAAAGGCGCTGGCGCCAGGGAGATGTGTGAGACGAGGACACGCTCCATGTTGGTGCAGGCTGGGCTCGGTTGGGTTTGGCAGGTGCCGGTGAGCGGGGCGCGGGCGGCCTCGGGCTGGCGGCTGCTCCTCCTTGGCTTTCGCTCCTCCACCCTTGGGCGGGTGCCGGCAAGCAGAGCCAGGCCAAGCGGGGGGCACCGAGGGCGGCAGGCTGCCCCGGCCCGGGAGCCATCTTGAGAGCGGGGCTGGCTCTCCCGAGCGCCGCGGGCCGCCCGCACTCGGGATCGGCCCCGAACCCGGACCCGCGCCGAGCCGGGAGCCCGGCGGGCGGGGACAGGCGGGCGGCTGTCGGTGCCTCCCCCGGCGGCACTTGGCAGCCGCCCGCGGGCAGTGGGGGAGGGCGGCTGGGTGGTGGCGGCGGCGGAGGAGGAGGAGGGGGGCGGAGGCGGGGACCAGCCGGCCCCGGCCCGGCCCAGCCCAGCGCGTTGCCCCGGCCGGACACGGCGCCCGGGGCGGAGATGGCGGACGAGCCGCAGAAGAAGTCGCACTTGTCGGCCTTGGTGGGACACACGAACGGGCTCACCAAGCCCGCCTCGCTGACCGCCACCCGCTCCGCGGGAGGGGCAGGCGGAGGCGCGACCGCCTCCTCCAAGAAACTCGTGATCAAGAACTTCAGAGGTGGGTTCGGGGCAGGCCGGGCCCTCTGTCCTGGCAGGTGCGCTCGGCCCGATCTTTGTTTACCGCGGCCCCCGCCGCTCCCCGCCCCCTGCCCGCGGCCGGGCCCCGCCGCTGTCACCCGGCCGGGTGACACCGATAACGCTGCCGGCCCCGTGCCCGTGGAGGGCTCCCGGGGACACGCGTGGGGCTCCGTGCGCGGGGGCAGCGGCCGTCGGCAGCGGGCAGAAAGCCACCGTGGTGTCAGCGCTGATTAAAGCCAGGCCGGGGTGGTTGCCTCGCTGAAAGGAACACGGGCGTCAAACCCAGCAGCCGGGGGTGAGGCGCGTCGTGCAGAGGCTCGGGTGGAATTAGTGACCCCTCTGAGTGCCAGACGTACATGGCCAAGAGCACAGTGGCTTGGCAGAGCTTGATGGAGCAGCAGGGACAGACATTGCTGCAGGCTCCCCCCGTTGGGTGGCCGGTTTCAAACTACCTGTGTCTTACTTCACAGAAAGACCCAAATTACCAGATAATTATACTCAGGACACCTGGCAGAAACTTCATGAAGCGGTGGGAGCAATACAGAGTAGCATTTCTATTAAATACAACCTTGAAGAGCTCTACCAGGTAAGCGACATGAGGTTTTGGTTTCGTTTTTTTTTTTGCAAATAAACTGCTTTGGCACACATTCAACTTACTGTATTTCAATTTGTTAAAAGTTGACTGAATACTTTGCTACATACTCTGTTTCTAGTCAGTTTTTGTTTATCAGTTCCTCAGAGAGCTACCAGGATCTGGGCCCATGAAAAAGCAGTTTCTCTTGGGAGGCACAGAAAGCTATTCCTGGGCAGGGCTGAGATCTGAAGTGTTAGTATCTTCAATACTCTGCCCACTCAACATGCTGAAAAACAGGATGTTACTCTAGCAGGGTTATGAAGTTAAGTATTTTATGATGATTTTTGTCCATGCTGCGGTCTCTTGTAAGTAGTAATGTTGAAGTATTTGATATTATTGCATTAAAATACTGTACTTCTGTACCTTTTGGGGAATTAAAAAGGAATCTTGATTGAGCAGGCAACAAACTGTCCCTTTATCCACATTGCAGATTACTGTTAGATTTTTATAACAATCTTAGTTTTTTGGTTCAAGTGGTGAAAAAGCATTTCTGGAACACCTGGACCACTGGAGCGGGGGCTAGTGAGGGTAAAAGAGAAAGAGACTCCTGAGCCATTTCTCTACTTTCTACAACTATGTGGTTTAGTTCTGTGTTATTTCAGATGTATGTGCTTTGAGATACTTAACTGAAGTAGCAGCTTTTTAGGGTGATCATGCTGTAAAAGACTACTGATGCACTAAATTGTGCTACATAACATAAGTTAGTTATGAGTTTTCTGTGGGTGCAAGTGTTTTATTTGCAGATTGATGTCCTTGCTAGACCAGGACTGAAAACATTATTATGCACACCTAAAATTTTCTAAATGTTTAGTTGAGTTGTGAAGGGGAGACTGTGAGAGAGGAGAAGGCCAGTAGTCCTTACTGGGTCCCTGCTCAAGAAGATGAGCATGGATTTCAGAACTGACTATTCTTATCTCTTTAGTTAGGGTATGTAATATATGGGTCTAAAATGGCTGGTTATGTAAATGTATATTGATATAAAATAACTATTCCCTTTAAATTGAAAGCTTGACTGTAATATATTTATCTGTTAATACTTGCAGGTTTGAACAACATAAAGCATTTTATTGTTTTAAATTCAGCATTTGAAAAACCCTGCTTTTTCAAGTCTAGCAAAAAAAAAGCCACCAAAAACCAGCCCACAGATGCTTTGAGTGTTACCTAACTTGTTTTCAGAGGCTCAGAAATGAGATTATAGTAATATGGCTATGAAATCACTAGGGTACGTGCTTGAGTTTTGGCAGAAGAGGAGAGATATTTCAGATAAACTGTGAAGGGAGAATTGTACTTCTTGCTTTTTCTCTTTGCCTTCTTATTTGTAAAAACTGTGCAGGGCTGGTTGAATAATCCTTAACACAGCAAATCAGGAAGATTTCTGCACAGTGGGTGGTGGTGCTCGGTGTGCCTGTGCATGGACAGGTATTTACTGTCCTGCCAGAGGAATAAAAGATGAGGTTCAGCATCCATTGGAAACCTGATCTGTATTTACAGATCATTTTAACTGCCTGTTGGTGAGCATAGAATCATCCACAGGGAAAAATATCTCTGGGTGCATCAGTTCATACTATCAGGCCTTTGTGGTGGTTTTTTGGGGTTTTTTTGAGTCTTTATCTGACATTGTGGGAGGAAGTGAGAGGCCTGCTCGAGTTCAGTGCACCAGCCTGGTGTACCAGCCTACAGTTGGACCTTCTGATTTATTTATTTAATTTGGCACAGTGGCTGGGAAGAAACTGAAGAACAATGATGAGGCTGTGTGGAAGCCTGAAGGATACTCCTTTCCAGGCATTAGGGGCAGCATGGAATCAGGCATGAAGGTGCTTGGCAGAAATGTAGCCAGTGAGCAATGGGAGGGTGGCAGCCAGTTTTTTGTGACTAAAATAGAAATGATGTCTGGGATTGGTTGTAGATTGCACAGATCTTGATAGAAGTAGCTTGTACTTGATGGGATAGAGAAAGTGGGGCAGTACAAAGAAGTGCTGAATGAGGAGTGAGCGATAAAAATAATGGAAAAAGAAAATTACCTTTGCAACGAGGTCCTAAATAACCTGAATTGGGGCAGCACTGCCCTTCTGGAGGACATAGAAAAGGACAGTGTAGTAGCAAAGGAAAGACAGTAGAGCAATGAAGGAAAAAATTATGAGAGTCCTGACTAGACTTAAAGTTGGATGGGTGGATAGGAGTAGCTGTAACATTATCTGCAAAGTGATTGTCTGAATACTGTTTGTTGCAAGTTATCATTTTACTTGCCTTAAGACCACATGAAAAATGTTACAGGCACTGTGTTATAATTTTGTTTGTTTGCCTGCTTTAATATTGTATCAAAATTGTGGAGGCTATTTTTATGTGCATTTAAATAAAATTAGATTAGGTAGGTTACAATCTTCTGGAGCAGAGGAAAATATTCTTGGGTCAGTTTTAGCTGCTCAGGTGACAAAGTGCTTTAAATCCTTGGCAGTGTTCTGTGCAATATCGCCTCATAATATAACAGCAGTTGATATTGATGTAATGACCACCAGAACATTTGGCTTTGGGCAGGATTGGCATCCTTAGTAAACTGGGATAAATAAATAAATCCTATGAACTCCCAATGAATATGTTCAAGTCTTTATGTAATGGTTAATGTGGGGTTGGTTTTGGGGGTTTTGTTATTGTTTGGGGTTTTTCTTAATTATTTTTTCCTCTCAGTTTATGTACCTCAGCGTGTGTGAATCGGTGGAAATACTTGGGAAGAAATAAGTTGATAAAAAGACAGGAAAGGCACTATACTTATTTACCATTTAGAGCGATTGGTTGAAATGTCTAACTTAAAGTTATAAAAAAATTAAAATATTTCATATGGTTGTGTTCCTGCCCCAAAAAAGCACTTGTGTGCATACTGAGGAATGCACAAAATGGACTTTCTGGAGGACTTCTACTGCTGAGCAGTACTGAAGAAAGCAGAATTCTGGTAGTGTTTAACAGCACATCTGAAATATGACCCAGATTGTGATGGTGGATCTTGTTTGTGACACAATCTAGCAGAAAAGAGGGGACCAAAATCAGGAAGGACTCCTGAAGTCATAATTTTTCTACATAACTTTGTTTTGATGTTTTGGTTTTGTGCACAGCTTGAACATATAATGCTGATTTTTTTTTTCCTTTGTCAGCCTTAATTGCATAGACACAAAAATTTAAGGTTTTTTTTGTCTTATTCATAATCCTTTTTTGGTTTTTAGGCTGTTGAAAATCTCTGTTCTTACAAAGTCTCTGCTACACTGTACAAACAGCTGCGACAAGTCTGTGAAGAA